TTCCTTCCTTCCTTCCTTCCTTCCTTCCTTCCTTCCTTCCTTCCTTCTTTCCTTTCTTCCCTCCCTCCTTCCTTCCTTCTTTCCTTTCTTCCCTCCCTCCCTCCTTCCTTCCCTCCTTCCTCTCTCCCTCTCTCCTCTTTTCTCCCTCCCTTCCTTCCTTCCTTCCTTCCTTCCTTCCTTCCTTCCTTCCTTCCCTCCCTCCCTCCCTCCCTCCCTCCCTCCCTCCCTCCCTCCCTCCCTCCCTCCTTCTTTTCTTCTTTCCTTCCCTCCCTCCCTCCCTTCTTTCCCTTCCTTCCCAAAAAGGAGATTAAGAAACAGGAAATCAGCATTTTAGCGTTCAGATATTTACCTTTAGCTCTAATAAACTACTTTGTTAACATTGTTTGTGATGAACTGGGAGTTTTTGGGAGAGTAAAACAACAAATTAACAAGATCAGTCCAATTTAGTTTATTTTCATTGTAACATTTCCCAACTAGTCGTCTTAGGGCACTTTACAAAGACGTAACAAATCCAAACGAGTCAAAGAAAAACTAAACAATTCCATCTACAGTCAGTCAGTTGGATCCAGTTATAACAATCAGATTCATTATAATGCATCTAATACAAAATGCCAGTTGTGTAAATTTTTTATCCAACATTAACGAGAGTAAAACTCCAGTTTTCTTGGTGGACTGTGCGTCTTTTGCTTACTCAGCTTGGAGTTTGTCTAATTTACAAAACCCTCACAAATTAAACTTTGTGTTTTGTTGCTGTTTGCCCACATTCAAATGAGGTGTTGCGCCGCTTTTAGAGGAAAAGGCTCGGCGCTGTTCACACCTCACATTTAGCTTCGGTTTTTTGCTGCCTGCTGAGAGCAGGTGGCATTTGTGTCTCTAGAAAGAAAGGGAAACGTTTGGTCATCTGTGCAGGGAAGTCAGGAAAGTATTTTTAACCCTCCGTTCCAGCGATGAGTGTCAGACATTGTTACGTCTACAAATAGATCGTCCAAGAAGTGGGTGCACCTTTGTTGTTGTCATTTTGAAACTCTAAATTAAAAAGAAAATGTTCCGAACCTTTTAAGAATCGGTGACCATTAGGAGACTGACAGAATTATTTCATGGGATAACCATTACTAATGTCCAGGTCCTCTCGGAAAGCTGTGAGGCATTCTTCATGCAGATTTATGGAACGTCTCTGAACTTTTTCTGTTACAATTAGAGCTGAAGCTCAACGTGTGAAAGCATTTTTCTCTATTTGTCACTTTTCTGTAGCTGTGTTGCTGCTTGCTTTGTTAATAAAGGCAGCAAGGACATCAGCTAAACTGGAGCAAAGAGCACTCAATATTGAGCGTAGGCCTTACTATTAAAAGTTTGATAATTCTGTTTTAATAAAGCCTGTGACCCAGTGACATCATCATCACTGCTGTTCCTTCATGTTGTGTTTAAGAGCTCATAGCTGGAATAAGGTTGAACTTCTGTCCAATTCATTCCTACTGCCATAATGTTTCATAAATAAAACACTTAAATATTCCTTTACTAGATTAAGAGAGCTTTACAACAACAGACTGTGAATTTATGAATTATTTGATCTGACTTCTTGTATTTTGTTTGTCCTCCCAGTTACGGCTACTACAGTACATCCGGGACCCCGGCTCCAATCCGAGCCCTGACGGACCTTAAACACCACTTAGCCAACCCCTCCCATCCAGCTTCCTTCTCATCCTCATCAGACATGGTGGTCATCCACCCTGGGGCCGTCTTAGCCATGTTGGACCTGCTGCCCTCCGTGTGCTCTGAGAGCCAGCCAGAGGTGAGGAGACGCAACGAGGAAAAACGCTCTTTATATAAACGGGGGGGGGGGGGGGGGTACTGTAGCTCAACCAGTTTCAGTGTCCCATTTTGATTTAGTGAAATAAAAACAGCTTAATTTCTGTTTTTATTATGCACAGTATTTTTTCTGTTTGGTGTATTGCTGATGTTTTTGATTAATTATTTTTTGACACAAACAACCAGAGAAATGAGCATTTTCTGCAATTGACAGCTAAAATTAGTAAAACAACAGTAAAATGATAAAATAAGCATAACTGAAACAAAAAGCTACAAAGACCAAAGCTCTTATTCAAAACTATTGTCATCAAAATTGTTGCTCAAACAATGGCAAAAAGTCAAAACTAAGAAAACTGTAGCAAAATATTTAAATTAGGAAAATGTAGATAAGAGCTATTTTTTCAAAGTATTAATAGATACATTTAACAAAACGATAATAAAAATTACAGTTAGCAAAACTATATCTAAAAGCAAAAGTGAGTGAAACAATAGCTAAAATCTAAAATCAACAAAAGCATAGCTGAAAGCAAAAATTAACAGAATAGCAGCTAAAGGATAGATCAAGCAAAATTGTTGTTAAAAATCCAAATTAGCAAAACTGTAACTAAAAACAAAAGTTAGCTAAATTTTAGCTAAAAGCTCAAATTAAAAGACAAAATCAATAAAAGCCCACATAAAAGCTAAAAGTAGCTAATCGGTAGCAAAAATCTACAGTAACAAAAATATAGTCATTAAGCAGAATCAATATTTCTGTGACAATTTTGCAAATTAAGATTTTAGAAGTATAAAAGTTATGCAAAGCAAAAGTCATAGCGCACTGTTCTAGATCAAACTAAACGTTTTAATGTTTGATTAGTTAAATTAGCACAAAGTATGCTGAAGTAGTTTGATTTCAACGTTGTGCAGAAGAAGCTTTAAACAGGTAAATATTGACTAACAAAGTGAAGTTTCATGACAACACTATAGTGCCCTTGATCAGCTCATAACCTCATAAATCTACATGTTTATTAACAACTCAGTGATATATTGTAATTAGCTCCCGCGGTACATTCAACATGTGGCGAGCTCTCTCTGTATGAACCGTCGTTTTCACTCGACCGTCTCTCTCCCTGCAGCATGCCCTCGACCTGCAGCTGGCGGTCGCCAACATCCTGCAGCTCCTGGTGAACAGTGAGAGGAACCAGCAGGTGTTGTGTGAAGCCTGCCTCCACCAACGACTGCTGCAGCGCTGCAGTCAGGCCCTGGGAGATGAAGACCACCCGCTGCACCCACCGCTGCAAAGGATGTTTGAGAGGCTGGCCTCGCAGGCTCTGCAGCCGATGGCACTCAGGTACACCACCGGGCTTCGAATTCTTCTTGTTGTCCCCAACACTTCATTTCAAAACAAAATACAAGATTGACTGGAGAAATCGCATTTTCTCTGGAAAGCACTGTGAACTGTGACTTTGCTGAAAGTTTCTGTAGAAACCGAAACCAAGTTGTTAAAGTTAAACAGAACAATAGCTAAAAGGTAAAAAAAAGTGTAACATTATTTAAAAACTAAAAAGGCCCACAACACTAGCTAAAAGCTTTAAGAAGCAAAACAATAGCTAAATGTCAACAGCTGCAATTGATTAACTTAACAAACCCAATTGATTGCTAAAAACTAAAAGTAGCAAAAGGCTAGCTGAAAGCAGCTAAATACAGCATAAGATTAATTCATAGTAATTAAATGTTAGCTAAAAGCTGAAGTAGCAAAATGATAGCTAAATGTAGCAAAAGATTGGCTAGAAGCTAAAAGTTTTAGAAAGTTCATGTGAATGAAAAATTATGTTGTTTATTTATTTAAAGCGTTGGTGTATTGGTGCTCATTGCTCAGAGGAGTCCATGCTTGTAAGTTCAGAGGTGTTATGACAACCTGTCAATAAGAAAACTTTATTTTGACTGCTGGATCGCAAGATCTTTTGTTCGGGCTTCTGTTCTGGGTAATCGGTCAGTCTTTGCTAAATCTGACACGTCATGAACCCCAAGGTTACATAAACCCCACGCTTTGATTGGTCCGGGCCGCAACTACCGCCGAGGCACTCAACTCTGCTGAACATGGGACCTGCTACATGACATTTATTCCTGTATTTCTTTTTTTATATTTCACCACAAAAGACAGTTGACTTGTTCATTTCATGTATTATTTCAGAAAATCCAACACATCCCCAACATTCACATAAAAACAGCTAAATGTAGCAAAGCAAGACAATAGTTGGTGTGCTTGGGCAAATTTTAAAAAGTTACATTTTTGATAAAAAGGTCTCGGTGTATTTCAGTGAGGAAATAATTTGTAAATAAAGTTCAATATTTTGAAAAATGTAAAAATGTACAAAATCAAAAGTCATAGCAGCCATACCCTGAGGGATGCAAACATAGCTGGAATGCAACATTTTACAGAAAAATAGAGAACAGGAAAACAATAATCATCATTCACGGTAATAAAGTGAGAATGTTAAGCGAATCTTGACTTGTTTTAACTTACACTCACGAGCATGCAGGAATAAAACACAACAGTCTAATGAACTCACTAAGTTTGTAGCTTTAAATGGGGACATTTTAATCAGATAGGATTTGTGCTTACAGCATTTCTTCTCAAACTTCTCAGAAAGAATGATGAATTTGTGTTATTCTATAAATGGATGTATAATCTGAGCCGACAGCTTTCAGAAGGAGGAGGAGTGTTGTGTTCTCAGGTGAAATTGAGCATTTCTCATTTCCCGCTTGGCTGGTTAAATGAGATGGGTGTAGAAATGAGGAGAAAGTTATTTCATATGCATGAGGTAGGTTGTTTTCATATGTAGATTTGGGCTGTCTGGTTGGTCTCTCCTCCTTTAATAATGCAGGGGGAAGCGTATCTGCATTCATCAATCAGTTTCCACAGCCTCCTCTGGTTGACTCACCCCCGAGCTGTCAGCCGTCTGCACGTTCTGCACCTAAGTTTTATTTATTTATTTTTCGTATCGTCTCCGCTCTTCCTTTGTAGCTTGCAGCAAAACTCCAGAGCTTTTCTGTCACCGTGATGCTGCTCTGAAATTGTCTAGTTCCAGCCGCATGTGTCGACACTCGATGCCTCGATAGCTGACACAAACCATCACCGAGACGCTTCGCATTCAAGTCACTTACGCAGCCGTCAGCTGTCTCTGACTGAAGACTGCTGCTAATCTGATGTCGGGGATTAGTCAGGAAAATATCCTGGATTAACATAATTCATATTTCTTATTTTGTATCCTTTTGGCAGACTGAAGAATGAATACAAGCTGTATAACTGACAGCATTTCAAGCTATACAGAATAAATCTGACTAAATGAAGTCAATGCAGGGTTCTGACAGAAGGCAATGAAAATAGTGGTATTTAGTATTTTATATATATTAAACAAGAAAAAAATGACTTTTTTTCCTAGACTTTATTCCATATTTTAATTTCTAAACTTGAATTATTTTCATATAAAATAAAATTTACATAGTTTTAGTTATAAAACATTCATGAACCAAGACGTGCGCTCTACAAAAGCTTATTAATTATTTTATTATAGTGATTATTCTAAATGAACCCACTGTCAGAGAATTTTACTGTCACTTTAATAAAGTTCATGTAAATTCAAATATTTAAATCATCAAAGTAACATTTTTATTACACGGTGGCTCAGTTGGTAGAGTTGTCGCCTCTCAGAGAGACTGTCGCTAGATCGAATCCCGGCCGGGGGTCTTTCTGGGTGGAGTTTGCATGTTCTCTCCGTGCATGTGTGGGTTTTCTCCGGGTACTCTGGTTTCCTCCCACAGACCAAAAACATGCACGTTAGGCTGATTGGTAACTCTAAATTGTCCCTAGGTGTGAGTGAGAGAGTGAATGGTTGTTTGTCTCTGTGTGTCTCTGTGATGGACTGGAGACCTGTCCAGGGTGTCCCCAGACATGTGTCCCTCATTCAGGGACTAGAGACATGGTGCAGGTGTACTGTATCCCTTCTATAACCTACAATCCCTACTGTTTTCATCACCCCAGCTCCAAGGTCACAAATCAAGGTCAAAATTAAAACAAAGTATTTGCTCGTCCTTGCTATAACTTCTGATCCGCTCGAGATAATTTAACAAAACTTGATCCACATTTATACCACCACTACTCACTGTGTCATGTAATCTTTTCATCACCCCATTTTTAAGGTAAAGATCATAAATCAAGGTCAAATTGTGTACAAGGTCTTTACTTGTCCAGCTCATAACTTGTGATCCACTCAAGATAATTTAACACATTTGCACCTTTTTATACAGCGCCATATAATCTTTTCATAACCCCATCTTTAAGGTCAAGGTCAAAGGTTATACAAGGTCTTTGCTTGTCCTGGCCATTGTTATATTTATTTAGCTGTAAAATAGTTTGTCGGCCGGCGTCTAACGTGCCATATTGTTATAGATGAGCTGTTTTAAGCAGCAGCGATCCACTTTGGTTGTAGCTGCATTCAGTCTAGTCGTTGGACCATCGGTCCTGTTGGACGTAAATGTTATTTCTCCAAACCTATAGGTTGGTAATAAAGCTATTCACTAGAACTAAGGTATTAGAACATGTACACATAAACCCATTTAAAAACAGCAAAATCTTCCCTCTAACAGCATGAATCATATCAAGATAAAAACAGTTACATTGTGCATGAAGCAACAGACGTTTGTGGTGATACTGCTTCTTTTCTCTTCGTTGATTGATTTATTGACGTCTTGGTAACTTTCTCCTGCAGGGAATTTTTACGTCTGGGAAACCCTCTGAACTGCGGCGCCTGGGACAAGAAGCTGCTGAAGCAGTACCGTGTCCACAAACCGAGCTCACTTGGTTACGACGCAGAAATGAGAAGTAAGCATCCTCTCTGTTTAGGATCAAATCTGTGTGATCGTTAAATCTGATGCAAGCTGCTTGTTTCTGTTAACAACATTACGTTGGTAATTTTCTGGGCTTCTCAGCAGGTCTTCATTGTTTCTCCTCCAAGCTGATAATGGATGTTATATCCCTACTAATTACAGCACCTAACAAGCAGCCGCTGGTGGAACATGTTCTGCTGACTTCATCTGTTCTATTGGCGTCTGCTCTGGCGACTTCTTGTCTTTTAATTCATCTTTGTCGCACCGGCTGGTGGTTAACAAACGATGAAATTTATGTTATCAGTAAAAGATAAAATGTTGTACCATTGTACAGGAGTTTGTCCTGGTCCCTTTGGGATAATAGACAATCAGGGTTGTTCCCAAACGAGTTTTCAGCAATCTGAGTTTACAGCAATCTGCGTTTAAGCAATCTGTGTTTACAGCAATCTGTATTTACAGCAATATGCATTTTCAGCAATCTGTGTTTACAGCAATCTGTGTTTACATCAATCTGAGTTTTCAGCAATCATTGTTTTCAACAATCTGATTTTTCAGCAATCTGAGTTTTCAGTAATCTTTGTTTTCAGCAATTTGAGTTTTCAGCAACCTGAGTTTTCAGCAATATGAGGTTTCCGCAATCTGATTTTTAAGCAATCTGAGTTTTCAGCAATCTGTGTTTTCAGCAATCTAAGTTTTCAGCAATCTTGAGTTTTCAGCAATCTGTGTTTTCAGCAATCTTGAGTTTTCAGCCATCTTGAGTTTTCAGCAATCTGAGTTTTCAGCAATCTGTGTTTTCAACAATCTGAGTTTTCAGCAATCTTGAGTTTTCAGCAATCTTGAGTTTTCAGCAATCTTGAGTTTTCAGCAATCTTGAGTTTTCAGCAATCTTTGTTTTCAGCAATCTTGAATTTTCAGCAATCTGTGTTTTCAGCAATCTTGAGTTTTCAGCCATCTTAGTTTTCAGCAATCTGCATTTACAGCAATCTGCGTTTACAGCAATCTGTATTTACAGCAATATGCATTTTCAGCAATCTGTGTTTACAGCAATCTGTGTTTTCAACAATCTGATTTTTCAGCAATCTGAGTTTTCAGTAATGTGTTTTCAGCAATATGAGGTTTCCGCAATCTGAGTTTTCAGCAATCTGAGTTTTCAGCAATCTGAGTTTTCAGCAATCTGAGTTTTCAGCAATCTGAGTTTTCAGCAATCTGTGTTTTCAGCAATCTGAGTTTTCAGCCATCTGTGTTTTCAGCAATCTGTGTTTTCAGCCAGACACTACTGGGAGTCAGAAAGTGTCTTTTTTTACCTGATTGATCAATAAATTTACATAATTGATTTTAGGTAAATAAAATGCAGTTTCTGCTTAGACATGGGACGACTACCAGTTTCAAGGTATAAGATACCAGAGACGGCACCGTGGTTCTTTTCTCTCTGTTAAATTTAGTTGCATTAAAATAACTATAAAAAATGTTTTATTTAGTACTATTATACTATCATAATCAATATTAAGTATTATGAGATGTTACTTAGACAACAAAAGTAAAATTAATTGTTTTATTGTTGAGAAGTAAAGCAAAGAAAGTAATTTGATGCATTAAAAACATGTAATGTTGAAAAGCAGTGGTATCAGAATCTCATATTGCCCCTCGCCTGTTTCTACCGTTGTTTAAAACTAATTTGTGACCATAAAAACCAGTTTGAAACAAAGATTGTGTGACTGAATGACGAGTTTACCTTCACAGTATTTTTAGGACTGCTGCAGAAAATCAGAGAAAAGTTCTTCCCAGTTTGGTGCATGTTGAATCAACTGTTTTGAAATATTATTAAGCTTGTTTTAGAAAAGAAAGAAGAGGGAAGAAGCAGTTCTCACCCAGTAAATTGCAAATTGTCTTAAGCTTTTATGAGTTTTAGACTGTTTTTCTGCACACCATGGTTTAAAGATCTTTATTCATTTTTAAGTGGCTTTTTTGTGATTTTGAATCATTTTGTTCTTAAAGTGAATTCTCGTGGATGATCCAATAAATATCTGGCCAGTTCAAATAACTCATATTTTAAAACTAAAAGGACATTTATACGTTTTTTTCTTTTTAAACATATAAAGTAGGTTATAAAAGTGTAATAAAAACATTCTCCCAACGAGCTGAGCTGCTTGTTAAACTGAACAGTTCACCTCAGACCTGAGTTTTTGACTTCTTATCTGCTTTTTCTCACCTTCAGACAGCATGACCATGTCCGCGGAGGGCTTCGGACCCGACAGCGTCTTCACCACGCCAGCAGAAGACAACGGTCAATACCGCATCAGCCGCAGCCTGGTGCGCTCCGCTGAGGACAGCACCGTGCCCCTCACCCGCGTCAAGTGCCTGGTGTCCATGACGACGCCCCACGACATCCGACTGCACGGCTCGGCCATCACGCCAGCGTGCGTGGAGTTTGACACCTCACTGGAGGGTTTTGGGTGAGTCAGCATGGTCTTTAAATGGTTTTCTTCGAATAAAGACGACTAAAGGAAACAATCCAATTCTTATTACATTTGAGAATGTAGTCTTGCAGGAAGTAGTATGTAATGTGCACCTACTTCTGTTTATGTCGGAGGAGATCAGAGCCAGAGTCATGCTTCCTGTTTCAGTAACAGCAGGTCGTCCTGTACATTACAGCCACACTGAACAAAGCTGTTTAATGTGCTTATAGGTTAAAGTATCTATAAGCACATTGTTGCTAGCAGCTTGGGCTTTTTCTTTGTGGAATCTAAATAAATAAACTACTAAAGACTACACAGTGTGATCATAACATTGAGTTTCTGTAGATATTTTTTATGCAGAGATTAACAATCTGACTAAAAGACTAAAAAGGATCCAAACACTGGCCAAATGTCTAAAGAGTGCTAAAGAAATTTGTGTTTACTGTAAAAAATGCTGTGTAAATGTAGAAAGCTGCAAAAGGCTGGCGAGAAGCTAAAAGTAGCACGATGATGGCTTAAACTAGCAAAAGGGTAGCTTAGGGTATCAAAAAGTTTCCTATAATCTAAAGTAGCAAATGGCTGGTTAAGCGCTAATAGTAAACCTGTAGCCAAAAAAACTTAAAATATCAAAAGTCTTTCTGAATGCTCAAAGTAGCAGAATAGTAGTTAAAGACTCGAGGGTGTGATGACAGACGGTCTGTGTGGGATTTAGAAAGGCAGACGTCCAGTTTCTGCATGGTTCTCCAGAGCCACAGCGCTTTGTTAGCCTCCGTGTCTTCTTTGGTTCCCTCCATGCCAGATTCATTCATGAACGCTCACTGAAGTGACCGGCTCGACCCGTTGTTTATGAACGACTATATCTTTATATTGCATGAAGGCCTGCTGTTAATCTAACAACAGAGTACTAATTAGCGTCTTGTAGTTGGTTTTTATTCTAATAAGTTGAGTCATTGATTCGATTAAAAATTAATCATTTAATAAACTTTGTCAGAGCCTAAATATTGCAGATGGAGGCAATTCTTGTGGAAACCACTTTCTGTAAATTGTGCAGATCACTTTTCTTCACATGCATCTCCTCCACATTATTTCAGTCGGCAATGAAACCGCTTCCGCGTCTTTTCTTTTTTTACTTTCTCGCAGCACTTGTAACTGTTTCAGCGGGGGGACTATTATTTGCCTCCAGTTGTGAAGCTGTGCATACAAATGGGCTTATTTTCCACATTTTATGTCGTGTGCCTGTTGTTGTGTGTGTGCTGCTGACAGACTCCTGCACCCCGAGGTTGAAGCTCTGCGTTACAGATGGAGCTGGTGGAAAATATGTCGTGTGGGATATGACCTTGGCAGTTTGCCACCACACCTACACGACAGATACATGCACACATTGTATCAACATTCAGTAAAGAAGTAGTGAGAAACACTGAAGACTATAAAAATGCTGCAGTGTTAAGTTTTTTTGGTTTATTTATGTTTTGTATTTGAGAGGATATGCAGGTCAACACCAAACCTGTTTACAGACACGTGTCACTGTTTTGTCCCAGCTAAATGTTAGCCTCAGCACGAGTCTGCTGTTAAATTCTTCATTTGTTACGAAATAATAGTCTGTGTTGTTATTATACAGATTTTTTGTAGCTTGTGTGTAAGATTCAAAGGTCTTCTACATTTATCACTTTGTATAAAAAAGGTAAATCTGGTCCTCTGGACATTCAAAAAACAAAACAAACAAACAAATTTTAGAAACGTTTCATCCTTCTTGATCATGTGAACAGCTGGTTGTGGTTGTCAGCAGCAAAACTCTGAGAAGGTGCTATTTATAAGACTGAGCTGAATACAGCACCTCAGACTGAGGAAGTCTCTCGGATGAAAGACGAAACGTTTCTACATTTTTTTTTTTTGCTTTTTGTTTTGTTTTTTTGAATGTCCAGAGGACCAGATTTACCTTTGTTTAGATTTTTCTACCTGGATTATTGAGCATGCATCAGGATATTTATCACTTTGTCTCTAAGGATTGTTGCATTTTTGCCAAAGCAGAAGTTCCATATTTGTCTGTGATTTTAATAGAAAGGCAAATGCTGACAATTTTAAAATGATCTGCAACTGGAAAGGGGGAACTGGTTGTAGAGTTCTGTAGAAAGAGGAGAAAATTCGGAGGAAACAAATTAAATGATACTAGATTTCCCTGAAGGAATGCATTTCGCTCACAACCTTGCATCCCAAGTGTTAAAGATTTGGGATCCTAATCGAAATAAGCTTTACTGCAGCAAAATTACATTCCGTACAGTCGTCCTAAAGATGGACGGAAGTGTACAGGGGGCAGCAGCTTCTAAGTTGCGCTGTCCTTGTTGCTTAGATAAGAAAAAGGGAAGGAAACGTAAAGAAAGAGGCATAAAAAAGGATCTCTCACTCCATTTCCTTGACTGGGCACAGTTTTAGGCATCAAAAAAATTACCACAGCAAGCAACGTAGATACAATACATGCATGGATGTCAAGACGGTGAGATTTGTCCATGAGCACTTCCAGATAGTTTCCATAGTCCTGATAATATGTTACAATTTCTGTCAACAGGTACAGCTCTGATAAGTGTTCGCAGAAGTTCTCGGGGGGGGGGGGGGGGGGGGGGGGGGG